GGCCCCTGGGCGTCACTCTGGGCACCCCCTGCTGTGGCATAATTACCCCAAACCAAAGTACTTTAGATGTGGCGTCCTCTGCTGGTGTTACAACACAATTACACAGGACCATTCCGGCTGGATCACGGGTAGTTAACTTGAAGTTGGGCTAAACTAGACACTGTGATGTGAGGTAGATTAAAACATCTGGGCCTGAACATCAGCCAGATGAAGTTTTGGTTGAGACTTTAGGGTCTTTCTGACTTCACCATTATAACTCCCAAAAATAAAGACGATATTTGCTACAATTCTTCCTCCTCTGTCTTTGTCTGCCTGCAGGACAGCGTTGTAGAGTTCAGGCGGTTCGATCCAGGTTGTCTGCTGCCATCCAACATCGATGACTACTGGACATACCACGGCTCTCTGACCACCCCTCCTCTGACTGAATCTGTCACCTGGATCGTCATGAAGCAGCACATAGAAGTCAGCCATGACCAGGTACTTACTTCTATCTGAATCATGTCTGACTTGAGCATGAAGATCATTTCAACCACAAATAAATTAAGCATTTATTGTGTGCTGTATATTTAAAAATGGACAGATGTCTATACTCTTCCTGTTGTTTAAATATCCCCAAGATCTTTTAGCTCCAGGGAATTTGCCTCTTCTGTTTAAGGAAGAGGAAGGGACCTAGTATTTAGTGTGCATTTTCTATACCTTTAGGTATCTAAACTGATATCATCCCAAGAGCTGTCTTCACTGCCCCCATGTGGCCAAGTATATTCAGTGCAGTTAAATCTAACCAAACCTTGTCCAGCCTGATATGTCATCTGTTCTGAGCACTCAGATCTCAGCTACACATTAAACTCATTCATAAACTAGCAGCGAGGTCACACAGTGTCCTGTTAGCTGAGCAACGGACAGAACACTAACCGCAATGTTTCTCCAACATCTCATAAAACTGTTGGTTTTCAGAGATTTCAGTTGTTTGAAGCTCATGAAAATTTGTTTTAGTCCAGAGATTCTGTGTGAGGGGAAGTACTGCAGGGAAGTCAAATTGAAAACGACAGAACGTGTAATATCAACCCATAAAAGCACCACAGCTGTAAATGCCACCTGGCTGCTCGTCGGTTACACCTGCTGCTCTTCACACCTTTGTTACACATAGTTCTGTGTCAGTGACAATTTTTCATTTAATTCTAGAGAGGCCAAACCTCCTTTGTAAACTTCCTAAAATAACTGGTAAAATATGCATTGCCAAACTTCAGAAATGTAGTCATTAAAGTGCATTAAATATTAGCTAAAATGCGGCTGATTTCAGAAGTATGTTGCGCATTGATCAGCTGTTCTACGTGATCTCCCCTCTGCTCTGGAGCAGCAAAACGCAGCCTCTATGAAAAATCCCTGGTGAGTCTATTGAACTAAGCGGCAAGAAAGTAGAACCCTGATTGGATGACACACTGTCTTTTCCAGCGATGCTAAACTTCTTAGAGGGTCTATAGAGCAGAGCTTGGAGAGCCTACAGAGGAAGACTGTTGTTGGTGGAGTTGTTGTTCTTTCCATTTCAATTCAGAGTATATGTCCAGAAGTTAGATTTATAACATGAACGCACCTAAGCGCTTGTTTCAGCTCCTCTTTATGATGGCAGATCAACAACACCCTGCAGATTAACTCTGGATCTCCTTATTCAATCAACACCGTCGTACAGCCCTTTAAGATCCCAACCCACAATGAAAAGCTCAATTTTTTCCCCCAGTTTTTCTTGTTAAAGTTCTGTTGATTTCCAGCATCTTTAGCTTTCTTAAACTAATGCAGTTCAGAAGTGTCACAGCTGTAGCTCTGCAGAAAGAGGGGAAAAACATCTAAGCTGAACAGTGAACCCAGGTGGTTCCATTTAACATTCAATAAAGCCTGTATGTGCCCCATGATGTCAAAACTTTTATTCTAACAAAGATGTTTTAAAGACTACATTTTCTTTATATGTGTGTCTGTTTTTCTTTCTTCCAGCTGGCGGTCTTCAGGAGCCTCCTGTTCACCTCAGCTGAGGAGGACGTTCAGAAGAGCATGGTGAATAACTTCCGGGTGCAGCAGCCTCTGCAGGGTCGCACCGTCCGCTCCTCCTTCACTCCGTTCCTGCAGGAGGCGCCATAAGCTAGAGACGACAAGCAGAGCCTCCGAAGCTGCTGGACTGATTAACAACATGCTGGTGCTTAACAGAGACTAAGGAAACTTTTAATGTTCAGCTGCCTCTGAGCGCTTCATGCTGTTTTTATTCAAGTACAATCATCATATGTTTTATTTTGATAATGAACAGTTTTACACATGATGAAAAAAAACCTTTTTAGAGATTTATCTTTGCTCAGTTTTTGGTTTGACCGCTTCAGAGCAGTTATCAATAAGGGAATAAGGGTCACCAAAGGGGGTTTTATTCACTAAAAATATTTTATGAATTTTATTACCTTAAGTTTTATTTAATATACACTTTCTTGGGTTTGTTTCAGCCTCTACTTGGAGTCAAATTGAGCTGCAGCTGGTCTGAGCTGCTGTCTGTTTACAGTGAAATGCCCTGGAGATTTTTACAAATAACTTTTACAGAAATGTGCATAATTATCAAAACAATTGTTTTACTGGATGTTTTCTTCATCTGTTACAAAGAGATTATACTGAATACGTATGAAATTAATTTTCAACAAGCTTTTTTATTTTTTTTAACCTTAGCCTTTGTTACTAAGACGCACAAACATGTAAAGTTACAGCAGCATAAGCACATAATAGGAAAACACTGAGGAGGAGATGTACGGGGGAACAGGGTATGCAATGCTACACGACTTACAGACTGACAGTGATGCTTTGCCTTGAACAGAAGAAAAGGAGTGATGATGCCTTCTTCTACCTTCATCTACCTTTAGTTCATCTACCATTAGAATAGGTAGATGAACTCCACAGGGGCCACAGCAGGTTGTGTTTGGTTGTTTTTTAATCTATTTACGCATTAAGCTAACAGAGTGAAGGGACCCTGGGCTGCTTTTATACTGAAATATCGCACCAGCGTCTTCTCATTTAACTTACTTTTTTTTTTTGCCTTATTCATCGTCACTCTGTTACTATTACTTTTAAAATGCTGATCTTCAGTTGTTTTGTCTAAGTGGCCTTTTCTGTCTCACTTGCAGAGAGTGGTTTACTTCTTTCATAGTTGCATCTCTAAGACATTTTAGGTGCATCACTACCTGATTGGTGTTGTTTGCCTTTCTGATTGTGATATAACTGAATGTGAGCATCCTCTGCAGCCCACTGGGATGTTTGAGCAGCTGTACATTGTTTTTATTGTAATTGTGAGCAGTGCATATTTTGGCTGTTTATTTGTCCAATGCTCAGCCTACATTCCTGCCCCCTGGTGTCCCGCTGGGCTCCTCCCCTCGTCCCAGCATGCCTTGCTCCACCTGCATGGTTTCTTTTAGATTCCCATCCGGCCGTGGAGCCGGGATAAATGCTGTTCCTCTGAAAAAGAGAGGAAAACAACCTGTTAAATGTCCCTGATGTACCTTTTGATTTTATAGAAACTAACAGTAATGTCCAATGTTAAACAATAAAGTAATATATCAAGATATAGTCTGTTGTTTGAGATTAATTCTTGCAGCATTTTTGGCGAATTAGAGGAATGATACTATCAGTTATTGGCATAGTTAGGTTAAAATACCAGTTACATTTTTTGATCTAATAAATGAGGCCGTAACAAATTCTTAACTATATCCTGTAAATTTTAAGAACAAGCAAATATCATGAAGAAAATTTAAGAATCTCATAACCCGATTTATGCAAAGACTCATAAGGTTTTTTTTATTTAGTTTAGGCTCTTGGTTTTAAGTTCACGCTCGCTGCCATCAGTTTCAGCCAATTTTATTGACTTAAATAAAGCTCAACGATCCTGGTGGTTAGGAAACTCCTGACATTCGCTCGTTTGCATCAAAAAGATAAAGTGCTGTTTTACAACCAGGTTACTGAACGTGTCGTATCTGTTTAAGCAGACATTAGCCAGACCATTACTGTACCAACCATAAAGTTATTATCAGTACAAAGCAATACATGTGAGAATAACTGAATATATTGTACAGCTTTTTGAGTAGCTCTGGCTTTATAAAGTGCTATAAAGCTTTTCCAAATCGGTCTCTGTTGCTCCAGATCTAGTGATAATTATCTGAGACCACTTTGTGGAATTTTATGACAAATTCTAGAGTTTTAAGGACGCTGAATGTCGTTGAAAAATCACCTACTGTTATAAAGCATTGTAATATAAAACCTTCCAGCATGCAGCAGAGGTAGGAGACCATGGTCAGGGATGGACTCATCAGATGAGGTTCAAAATCTGTTTAAAACTAGCAGCAGTTCTAGTTATATTCGAAACTTGGATTGTTTTTGTTTTTTTCCAGCAGACCCATCTCACACGGACCCCCCCCCCCCCTATAAATCTGATCCAGATTATTTTCCAAAAGAAAACTGTTCCCAGCTGCCTCTGTACTTCATCCCTACCTTTGAAGCCCCCCTGACAGTGTTGCCCAGCAGAAACGATCAACCCAGGCACCTCCAGGTGGAATGTTTTCTACTCTGTTGCAGTGATTGGGTGTGACCCACAGCTCCACCTGATTCCAACCAAAGGGAAGAGCAACTGGCCTTTAAGGGGTGTTTATTGTTCTTGGCTGCAGGAGACAGAAAGGCTTGAACTCTGCATGGACACTCCATAACCAAGCTTCCCCTTATTGTATAGATGTGGACCGCCTCTGAGCTATAAGCAGTGTTCAAAATAGCTAATGGAGAAATGACTTACAATATATTCTATAGTGAACGAGCAGAATGCCAGCAAATTATTTGTTTCTAACCTCTTTCTTGCTCTTTACCTAATTTTAACCTTTTGCTTTGCTTACAATAGTAAACTTTTTTAGCACCTGGTAAATGGGGAAAGTATCTCTTTTTTCTGTTAAGCCATATAAACCGATATCCCATTTCCTGCTATCAGGGTTGAATGGTAGCGATTGCAGACTTCAGCCCTTTGGGCTCCTTAAAGCCTCTCTCAATATTTGGTGATAAGGGAGGTAGAAAATGCTCCCTCTCAAACAAAATGTATCTGCAGCGCATCAACCAGCTCCCCTCACTAACAGTCCATGCCTCTGTAAGCCTAAGCTAAGCTAGCTGCCCCTTTTGCCCTTTTCTTTCACCCTGACCACACCTAATCTTGCTTGTTGCTATACTTAAGCCTGTTCCTTAAAGGTCTCTTGTCACTGACTTACTTTGGTAATATTTCTTTTTTCTGGTGTGGTTTAAGTTTGGACATGTGGTGAGTTGCACTTTAAGGAGAGCCACAAAGCTGTGGGTAAGCCTTGGCATGGCATTACAAACCCTTTCAACCGACAGGACATTCTAGATAAGTCTTAAGAATTTTTGTTTTATTGTTTTTGACATTTAAATACACGGTTACACAGCAGGACAATGAGCCAAAGAAAGTAACAAGAGTTTGAAGTGGCCTAGTCAAAACCTCAATTTAAATCCAACTGAGAGAACATTGAAGAAGCTTACTCATACTGTAAATAGTTTTCATGTTTGATAATTAAAATAATTATGCAAAGCAGAGTGGGCAGAAAAATTCTAACCATTGGTATTAAAGACTCATTACAGGTTAAGACTTGATGGCTACAGTTGATTCTTGGGGTGAAATGACCAGTCAGCAGGTGTAAGGAGAAATTGTGGGGTACATTCAGATGACTTATCTTGCCATTAATACAAAAATGAATCATTTGAAAAAAGATGTATATATCTTTGAGATAAAAATGAGAGTGCTGACACTTTTTCATGGCTCTGTATCAAAAGGTTGAGAGCCCACATCATGCCCACCTTGTATGAATAACTACAACATATATGCTCCTTATGACACAGTCCAAACACCATCATCAATGAAGATAAATTACCAATGTTGTCCTTGTTTTCTCCACTTGAGCAGAACTGCTTGAAATCAATCCAGGATTCCCTATGAATCTCTGAAGAGGCCCAGATATAAACAGGAACATGAACAGACAGGCCGTTCTCTCTCTGAACTCCAAGCCAGCTGCTCTTCCTCCACATTTTCCTTCTTTTTTCTGTAGAAGCTCCTTTGATGTGTTTCAGACATTTGAGATAAACTGTTCTTCACCAGAGGACTCCTTTTCATATTTGCTTCAAAAGTTGTATATAGAAGAATTTAAAGACTAAAAGCACTAAACCTTTTTTTGTGTGTGCCTGTGCTTTGGTTCGATTTTTATTTTATTTTATTTTATTGTTTTTACATCAAACAGGAAATCTATGTACCAGCTGGATGGTTTTTAAAGGAGTGGAGAAAGGAAGTGATGCCCAAACTGCTTCCAGGTGCGTCAGAACATCATTTAGCAGGTAGATAATGGCATCATACTCTCCAATGTGTTTTTTTTCTTGAGTCTTTATGGCACTAGTGGCTCGTCTTTATGGACAGTAGTCTGACAGGAAAGGGGGAATGAGAAAGAGGGAGAGACATGCAGTAAAGGATTCGAACCCGGGCCACCTGTACACCCATACTCTCCAATGCAAATGCAAATCCAATGAAGACCTCACCAGGAGGCAAAAATAGTTAAGGAAAAATGTCTGATATGTGCTACCAGCCTGTATTGCTGATATTCTTTTGGTGTGTGGTCATGTTATCAAGCAAGTACTTTTCCTAGCTTTAGGCTGAAGTTGGACGTCTAATCCCATGATGCCAATGTTCTGCTGCAGCTGGTCCTCCATTTTCCTCCCGTATGTTTTTTTTTTTTCATCTCTCATTCTACCTCCTTGTTTCCTGATCTAAAGGCTCTTATCTCCTCTTTGTTAACTTTTATTCTAGGTCGATGCGGGTGTCGTCACTAGAGAAACGCTGCCTCTCTTCAGGTAATGTTTTTGTCCTCACAGCAGATAATGTGGTCTTTTTATTCTGTAATGCTGTCAATGTTGTCCTCCTCAAGAGGAGCTTAGAGCTTTTCCTTCACAGTGGAGCTGAATCAGTCCCACAGAGCTTCGTCAGTGTCCTCAGCTAGTTATCTGTGTATGAGGGGTGATGAGGAACCAGGTAACCTGGCACTTCTTTAGAGTGGGCATGTTGTCTCTGAAGCAGCATGTAGCCTAGAGGGTGAAGGTGGTGAAAGTGTACGACAGAGAGTTGCTTTTAAAAGCCTTGTAGATCAGGACAGGTGGCTGAAAACCTTACATATATATGTTTGTGTCTGGAGTTAGTGCTTTTAGACTGTCTCTGTTAGGATAGCCAAGCTGCTTTCCCAATACCTAGAAGAAAAAGAAAATCTAGAAAACCGTCAGCTGCACTGTGTTTAGAAGTGAAGCAGAAAAAATAGGAAAACACTTAAACAATTTATAAAACAAAAAATGAAAAACTCCAAAAAAAGGCCCAGGTTTTCAAATGGGAATATCTATTTGTTTTTAGTCATGCATAGATTACCCTTTTTTTTCTATGTAAAACATTTCTTTTTAGTTTTTTGCCCTTAAATAACCTGCTGCTCTGTTTCAGTAAGACCAAAGTGTTACATAAATTATAAAAGGAAACTATGTGGTATCCGTGGTGATATCATGTTTGGGTATCTTAAAAGTCATTGCACCTCATGCAGCCTGGTTTATCAGATGATTAAGCTGAACAAAGATGTCTTGTGTGTAAGTTTCGAAGGAGCAGTCGTTAACCGAACGATAAACATGCTCAGAAGCAAGATTTAAAGACGCAGTGGCGCTGCCAGATGTCCCCTGTGTTACTGTCTCATGAATCAGAAAAGAGAGAGAGGGCTTTCTTGGAAAGGCGCTGGTATGCAGCCTTGCCTCTAGAGTCAGAGTGTTAACCTTTAAAGCAGGAACTTGTGGAAGATTTGTGAGGATCGTCACATGAGCGTTCAATGACTCAAGGCAGCATGAAAGAAATGTTACTTTAGCTACCAATGGAGACTAGGACCACAGGGAAAAACAATCTGATCACTCTGGAGGCCCACAGAAAAGGAGGCCAAAAAGTCTGAGCTGTTTGATTTGTTAAAATGTATTGTCTGCCACATATCCAGGTTGCAGACAGACAATTTCCTGCATCCAGTCGAGGTCAGCGGGTTCTACATTTATTGGACTTGTATATCACTGAATTGTACCTGCAGGACCTTCATTCAGGTTGGACCGCATCAGAATTCCAATTTAATCCCTGTCTGCTATGCAATCCCAGCAAGTCCGACTGTCTGTCTCAGGCCCATTCAACGGAACATGAAAGTATTTTCTGTCCGTGTTGGGCTGGACTGCAACATTGTGCTGTAAAATCACTCTAACAATTGGTTAATAAGAATATAGTTGATATTACATCATATATAATATTATTTATTATATTTGACTTGTAAAACTCATAGATTATGGATTTGTTACAAGCTTAAGGACTTTTTTAAGGTGTTAAACTGCAGCAAAAAACCCTTAAAATTTAGAAATGTTTCCATAATTATTTTTTAGTCTAAAGCTTCAAATCATGTCTTCAGAGCTGGTGTCAGCGACACAACTGACTTGAAAATACTCCTATGTATGCCAGGTAGATCTGCAGAGC